CCTTTATTACAACAAATCGCATCTCATTCATTCACTTCTCTACAATCATCACGAACAACTTAATAAATACACAGACAGACAGACAGACAAACAACTTACGTCTTCACTGCGACTGCCGAGAAATGCGATATCATTGTCTTCATAAAGTGCATCATTTCTACGACCTCCACGATATGCAATCATTTCATTCGAATTAAAGCCACCTAACTGTTTACCAATTCGATAACTGTGAATTGGTGATTGAAACGGAACCATGTAAAGACCACGAGATAGTAACATTTCCTCCAGTAGACAAAGTAACCTACTAGGATTTTCAGTCAACAATTTTGTGTCCAAATTTGGTAGAATGTAAGGCAGCATAACAGCAGGTTTAGGTGACATTCTCTGTATCGATTGTGAAGGTGGTGATGATGATGATAAGAATGATGGCGATGAAGATTTTGATGGATATCGGATTGGGTTTTTATACTGATTGAATGACGTGTTACGGTCATAATCATAATAATTTAATTTATTTAACATATACTTATCCAAGTTTGTACCACAATTACTCTCGATTTCCACTTTGATATCAAACTCTAGATTGGGTTCTCTTAGAAACAGTTGATATTCTCTTCTATCCATCATTCTAGTGGATCTAGTGGTGATCTCAATTAAATAAAACCAGATAGTAGAAGTAGTACATTATATATATCAGTATTCTTTCTTATGATTGGTTAATTATTTAAACAGAGACCATATGCTCTTCACTATTAATTTTCATAGTATCTACTGTTCTACTTATTTCCATTTGTTAATCACGCGAAAGAAAAGGATACTTCACAGAAAATGTTTAAAATATTTGCTTTCGCTAAACAAACGCCTAAATAGAAAAAGAATAAGAATGAAAGAAAGAAGAGAAAGTCACAAATTCAACCACATTGTAGTCGCCGCTTCAAAGAGACTGAAATGTAGTCACATAACAGGTTGTTTTTTTATATTTTTAGAAATTACTTCTTTACCTGATGAAAATTTATGATAAATAGCTTTATTTTTTAAAGAGAGGAGGTTAAAAGTGGATCAAATAGAAGGAATGAAAGTTCAACCTCATCTGTCATCAAAGCTTAGTACAGTTAAGATTCATAATTAAACCTTGCTGACTGGTGAGTGCCAACTACCACGAAATCTAGGTCCAAGGCTTCCTGCCGATTGCCTCTAAGTATCTAATATCATCAAACCTGTAAAGTACTAGGAGGTTTACAAAAAAACTGGTACACCATTGAGAAAAAGGATGTTTATATAAAGAGGATAGGTGGGAAAATATAGCGATTGAAACGTTCACCCCTACAGCAAAAGTATGGTGGAGGTATGTAGATGACACATTCACTGTACTTAGAACACAAGATATAGATAGATTTTTCGAACACATCAACTGGAAGGTAGAGACAATTCAATTCACTTATGAATTGGAAAGTCAGGAAGGGGAGCTTCCAATGTTAGATTGAAACGTAAAAAGGAAAGAAGATGGGAAGTTAAACACTAGTGTTTACGGGAAACCCACACATTCAAACATATATTTGGACTTCCGATCATCCCATCCTATGTCAGTAAAAATAGGATTGGTGAAACGTTTAAGTGACAGAGCACAAAAATTAAGTAATACCAAGGAAAATCTAAGACAGGAAGTGACACACATAAAAGAAGCCTTGAAACTTAATAATTACCCCGATAAATTAGTCAGGAAATATGTAGGGAAATGTAAAAATAAAATAAATAATGATAGTAGCGATAGTGATAATAATAATATTAGTGATAATAATATTAATGACAACACCAACAATAAGGAATCCAAATCATCAGTGGTAATTCCATGCAAGGAAGGAACCTCGGAAGCCTTACACAGAATTCTTGACAAGGCAGAAATAAAAGTGGCTGATATTCAAACCCACAAACTCAATTAGAAACAAGCTTTGTCGGTTAAAGGATCAATCCTGTAGAGCCTTTAAAACAAAACAATTTAGTTTATCTAATACCCTGCTGGAATGATTGTCAGGTCAAATACATAGATCAAACTAGTAGAACAGGGGCAGCCAGACATAAAAACCTAGCGAAATCTAGATTGGTTGACCCAAACAAGATAAGAAATCTAGAGAATAGTTCAGCTACACCGCTCATTACATGCAGTTACACACAACCATACAATAGGATGGGATAGGATGACAGTTTTAAAATCTAATGTAACACCAGGGTGGAGGGAGAGATTGATAACAGAAGCTTTGTGTATCGAATCAACTCAGGAGAATACGTGTAATAGGAATGATTCAACGGCTGTCCCAGATATCTAGAAAATTCTACTACCCAAGCTACGACAAATGGGAGAGGGCAAAGAAGACTGTAAAACTCAAATTTCGAAGTCGTGTGATTACAACTGATGAGATGATTATGAACAATAAATTTTGTTCGAAACGTCATCCAGTAAGTAATAATACTGTTTCACTGTGTGATACATCTAATAAACAAACTAACGGGGAATCTCCGATTTAACCAGTAGTATCAGTACAGACGATTTCAATTCACGTCCAGTTAATGGTTTCACTATGTGAAGTCGTACTTATTGTTGTCTCAGATAAAATGAGGAACAAAATGAAGAATGTGAAAGCCAGTTTAAAGTCATTGTAATTTTTCAATATTTTAAAATAAGATTATACATATAAGAATTCATGATTGATTTAATACCGAAACACACAGTCTGGAATGAAGCTGCTTTAATTTTAGTAATTATATGCAATAAGTCTGATCACGGTTAGAGAACCACTGAAAGCCATAGAGTACTGGATAGCTGATCAGTCCCAGTTTTGAACTCTTCGGCAGTACGCACCCATGACCCCACTAGGGATCGAGTCTAAGACCTTCAGGTTACGAAGCCAGGCTTGTCAACCATTCAGACACTTGGGAAAGAATCCAGTGATCCGTGAACTCTAACGATATGCTTGGTCCCATTACCTGAAAGTCCCGGGTTCGATCCCTGGGGGGGAGGAAGGGTCATGAGTGTGAGCTGCTGAAGGGTCCCAAACTAGGACTGAGTAGTAGTCCATTACTCCCTGGCTTTTAGTGGTTCTCTAACTGACATCAATTTGTGATCGAACTTGAAACCAGTCAAATCCTAACAAATTAGCTCTTGAACATTATGTGTTAATTAATGAAAAGTACCATAGAAATTGCACAACTATCTACCATCTGCTATTAACTCCATGTCAGATTAATCTGAACTAAACACCGAAGGAATTCACATAGTCCTAAGGCGTTATTTTAGACCTTGTATAAAAGGATACGCTTATTCGCCAATGTTTACAAGACAAACTAAATAGAAAGTAGAAATCTGAAGGTGATATTGTGATGTATGCTACTTATGACGATAGATGTAAGCAGTATATTGTTGTCTTCACGAAAAGTGGAGATAAATCGTAGGTAGCCGGCAAATTCGCTGAAGAGATAAGAATAAGTGATAGAAAATCCCGAATAAGGTACTTGAAATACAGAATGCTGGTGTTATTTGCAAAGAACAGACTGAATGTGAAATTAGGTGTTTTACGAGTGATCATTGTAACTTGTCCCCATGCACACTGGCGTCCGTCCTCACCGGACCGGAATAAACTGTCGACAATATGGTAGAGAAAGTAGTAAGTTAACGAGTGAAACAGTAGGATACCTTCACCCACACTATTTTTTAAAAACATATTATTTCCCTACACTAGTACCAATATTGTAATTTTGACTTCACAAACGAAAACCAACGAATTGGTAGAAGTGTAATGACAGAAGACAAGGGCCAGGCAACAGATTGTTTATTGAGAAAATCAATAGGTATTTATAGATCTTTATGTACGTTTTCTAATCGGTTGTTTCCTTGCTGAGGGTTATTCTATACCGCTCGTGACCGTTTCTTAGAAAGTTAGGCCATATATCTGCGAATCGTATTCGCACACGTTAAGTCTGCTGTGATTGGTTGGTGAGTTCATAAAGGTTAAGTTTAGTTGTTGTCTTTTCTCAGGACCTCGATTCGGGATGTAAATAATGACGTAAATTTTTGTCTACAATTTTGGCTTGCAGACAACTCTCACTATGGAAGAAGCAGCAAAGACAGGACTTCAAGCGAACATGGCGAAGACAAAGGTAATGCAGATACCTAACCAACAACAACTGCAAGTACCAATCACTATCAAAGGGAGAAATTTGAAGTAAGTCACTTCTTTCAGTTATCTAAGCAGCATCCTCCCAACTACACGCGGCATAGATAACAATGGCAATGGCTGGATGGGAAAAGCGAAACGAACCTTCATTACTCTGAAATCACTGAGCAGGTCTGTTACACTTAACATAAGGAACAAGGTTGAATCGTTAACACTAGTGTCGAATCGATGCTTATGTATGGTTAAAAGAATTAATGTACGCGTCACTAAAATAGGCTGTGGACTTCAATGAAAATATGCCTTCGTTGACTCGATACTGGGGAACTTTTGCAATGCAGTGAACCAGCCAAGAATATATTACTCAATAAATGTATAGAAAGAATTGGCGCTGGACTAGGTATACACCGAAGAAATGTCTGAATGATATCACACTCCAAACCTCCGAACGGAACCCTAATGAAAAGCAACAAGTTGGGAATCCAAGGGTGATATGGGGGAGGTCATGTTAGAAGGAAATGAAAGGTTGTGGGTAGTTGTGCTGCTAGCTGAAAGAAGACAACAGAGAATAGAATACAGTGAAGATGTGCTACCGAAGTTCTATATTCCACTTGGAACCCAAGGGGCAAATAAATAAATAAAATTTGTGTCTTTTACTGACTTTTGCAATGATGTCATAGTAAAGAACAGCAATTTAAGCAGAAATGAAATGAAGCTAGCTAATATTTTACTTACACTTGCTTATTTAGGCGATCTACCATCATATATATATATATATATATATATATATATATATATATATACCAATTCTACTGCTTGATTTTATTTAATTGAGATCACCACTACATCCACTAGAATGATGGATAGAAGAGAATATCAACTGTTTCTAAGAGAACCCAATCTAGAGTTTGATATCAAAGTGGAAATCGAGAGTAATTGTGGTACAAACTTGGATAAGTATATGTTAAATAAATTAAATTATTATGATTATGACCGTAACACGTCATTCAATCAGTATAAAAACCCAATCCGATATCCATCAAAATCTTCATCGCCATCATTCTTATCATCATCATCACCACCTTCACAATCGATACAGAGAATGTCACCTAAACCTGCTGTTATGCTGCCTTACATTCTACCAAATTTGGACACAAAATTGTTGACTGAAAATCCTAGTAGGCTACTTTGTCTACTGGAGGAAATGTTACTATCTCGTGGTCTTTACATGGTTCCGTTTCAATCACCAACTCACAGTTATCGAATTGGTAAACAGTTAGGTGGCTTTAATTCGAATGAAATGATTGCATATCGTGGAGGTCGTAGAAATGATGCACTTTATGAAGACAATGATATCGCATTTCTCGGCAGTCGCAGTGAAGGCGTAAGTTGTTTGTTTGTCTGTCTGTCTGTCGATTTACTAAGTTGTTCGTGATGATTGTAGAGAAGTGAATGAATGAGATTCGATTACTTCTAGTAAATCTTGACTGTTTGAAAGTGAGGCTGTGGTTCATTGGTAAATAAGCCCAACATCCAACCAGTGGGTGATGTGTTCGAATCGCTATCCACCTACCGAGGTTTTGACAGTGAGTGATGTAGTATAACTAACCGTCACACAACAGATGTGGCTCATCGCCAACCGCACATCGTGTGTTCTTCTCTGACTGTGACAAAAGAAACTTAAAGATGAGATTCAATACTCTCCGATTCCCTTTTTTGAAAAGTCATTGATTTTTGTTTCCTCTCTTTTGCCTAACCCTTAGGATTCAAGTAAAAACACTGAATTATACGTTCGCTTGTTCAAAATATCTGTTAGATTGTAATAAATGATTCCCAACAATTCATATTGATTTATTTCTTAGGGTCAAAATGTTACTTGACAGTTTAGGTTAATGATGATTCTAGTAGTACTACTACTACATGAAATACATTCAAACAAATGTTGCTAACTATAGACGAATCTTGTAAGTGATATTGTTGTGAATGTTATTCTTTGTATACGAATTTTGTTTCATTATAGTCTACATCTTTTTATTGGGCTATTTTCATCTTATTGTCTTCATGTTGTTTCTTGTTATTTTTACCTCTACTTGATTTGTCACATATGGGGTGTTGAGGTAACTTCGATTAGTATATATTGCTGCTATATATTAGGCTAACAGTGTCTGTATGTTGTAAATGCTAACGCCTTAGATTAAGTGATGAATATTTCTTAAATGAGGCCATATCATGGGACTATGCGAAGAATAATTTCATTACCTCTTACATTTCTTTTTTAAAGGTAAGTAGGATAGAAAACAGAATGAAAGGTAGCTTATATCTACTCATAAGTAGAATCAAATACAAGTCAAACTGAAGATAGAATTGTATTACATCACTTCAAGAGCCAATTAATTACAGCAAGGATATGCAATGAAATTCTGTCGAACTGCTTTGATTTGAGAATTTGAGAATTTTCATATGACCTCACACACGGTGGGTGTAACTCATAGTTAAACTGTGGTTATCATTTCGGCTTTCTTTTGGTTTGTAATAAAACGACTATGAGTGTATTCGTTAAAATTACAAAAGATGTTTCATTCAAACGGGAAAAATCCATTTAAATACCTTAAACAAAGGGAGCATTAGAGTTGTGTAACCGAACACCGCATAGGACAACTGCCTGAGGCATGTTTAAGACTTTCTTCGGTGTTGTATCCGTATGAAAATCCTACTACCAACTGGGGACAAATAACCACAAAGTAAGTTGGGATACAACATTTTCTGGGTCGAGCTTTTCTAACCCTACTCCTAAGAGCGTATAGGCGGTATAGCTGGGTTACTGGTGCTGTTGCATTTCTATTAGCCAACAGGGCGACTTCTACTAAAGATTTACATCATGCAGTGGCAGAACCCGAAGGAACATTTACTCCAGCCACTGTGAGTCGATGAGTGATTGAAATATGCAGGTAGCAGCATAGCTATCCATCGGAATGACAAATATACAATACCAGTTATACAAATATACAAGTAGTGCTACAATCAGCCACAATAGAATTTTGTATTTATGATATCGATTGGACGTGTGATTGATTAATTCACAGTATGAGTTTAATCATGTTTTAATCAAGGTGATAAAAAATCTGAGAGCGTAGTCTGGATATGATATATATTCACGCCTAGAATAAATAATTAAATACTTATCGCATTATAAACAAATCATTCATTATACCTTCATCGCTGAATATTTTTATGTAAAAATAATTTCGCTACTCACTTGACTAGGAAAATGAGAGTATTGCGGCAACAGCATATTAGTATGCATAGACAGTGTAGCAGATTGTAAAAATCCACCTGGTTTATTCAATCTGTCATTGGAAATTTCTAATCTCGCTTGCTCCATTCGACGACGTAAACGCCATTGTGTTAAAATATCATCTGTTGGGTTTAATGTTTGTGCATGGACTGAAGTAAGAGAAAGAAAAATTTTAGCGATAAAAATCTCAGTGAACACACAAAAAAAACAACCTGTATCTGGTTTTTGGCTGAAGTCGAGTTTTGATGGATTTGGAAAGGGTGATATGCCAGGGTTTTCGTTGGGTTTCAACACTTGATCAATCCACCTGGGAAAAAAAACGTATTTCGATTAGTTATTGAGCAATAAAAAAGGTAATATACAAGTTATGAAATGAATTACCAGCTGCATGAGTTAGTAAAGACAAGACAGTGGCATAATTAGTCTGTTTATTTACTGAGAAACACTAAGAATAGCATCTACTCAGGATTATTGTTGCCGCCTTGGGTTCCAAGTGGAATATAGGGGGCTTCAGCTTTTTGAAGTCATCTTTGGCTGGTGTAACGAATACCTATATAAGCTTCCATCGCCTTTATGTCATCGTCGGATGCCCAACTCGCCATTTCTCATTCCGGCTCCACTTGAGGGCCTAAAGCGCGATGTCATTCAACGATCTTCTCAGCGTGTGTCCAGTCCATCTCTGTCTCCGTCGATTTACTTATTCGGTAATAGATTCTTAGCTAGTTCCTTCTTAGAGTTCCTTGTTGTTTACCCTTTCTGCCTATCTGATCTTCAGTTTCGAGTGGAGACAGCAGTTGATGAAAATTTGCAGAAACCTGTTGGAAATGCTTTCAGTGACACAAAAAGTCTCTGCACCTTAGAGAACCATTGATTTCACATTAGTGTTAGAAATTCGAATATCGTTCTTTATGCTGAGTAAAACAGATTTCGACACACCGATTTCAGAGTGATGGATGTGTGTCTTGCTTTTTTGATCCGGCCTTTGACATTTTCATCTGTGTCATTGCCTGTAGTTGAAACAACAGTGCTTTTTGTTGTTGTTGTTGTTGTAATTGGTCGCGTATCTTCATCACATCTGCCTTCTCTATGTCCACTTAAAGTTTTATCTTCGCTGCTTCTTATACCAACTTGTTGGTTTTCACCTGTAGATCTTAGAGTGTGTGTGAAGTTAGATATAAACTGTCCGCGATGTCAAAAGCTTCTACAGTCTTTTTGTCAATCCAATGTATTTCTGTATTCCCGCCGCTCCCCAGGGCCTGTTGCATTATCCAGTTCATCACAAGTCAATCGCTAGCCCGAATAGCTCAGTGGTAACGTCTCTGACTGCAGCACTGGGTGCCGTGGGTTCGAATCTCAGAAAAGACATGAGTTCCTTTAAGGTTGCAGGTGTACCTTGCTAACTGATGAGTGCCAACTAGCACGAAACCTTGGTGAAGCAAGGCTTCCTGTGGCCGACTGCCTCCAACCATCTAATGTCATCACATCAATCTATGCACCGTGATGACCAGCTACCCAGAATGGTGGCCACATTGCACACTTGACTGAAAGAATTCAATCTGCAACAAAGAAAGGACTAGACATGTCGTGTCCAATCAAAATGAACAGAATCTACTTACAATAGCTGATATGTGATATCGCCAAATCTTAGCAAACACAAATTAATAATCAGACGACCATCCATAGAGTATTTTCTCCCAAGTAGGTTAAACTTTTCTACATCCCAACACAATGTTATTATTCAGTATTGTCTAATCTTACAATGTTCAATAATTCAAGGTAAAATACACGCACACACACACACACACACTTGTTTAGCAACTGTGTTTTACTGATCTCTTACATTGACAGCATAATTAAAAATTCTTTAAGAATACTAATCATATTTAATCAGTAAAATACTCAAAGGCGAATACTGAATACAAAACAAAAAGAAAGGAATTCATCACATGCTGTGTCAAAGAAGTGTCATCATTATCATCATCATCACCATCAACCTGTAATATAAGTATGGTCATATTATGAAATTGATAAAAATGTTTAGAAATATTTTATAATTCAACATTTTATGCAAATGAATACCTCCTGTAGTTAATATGCATCAATTCTTTCATAAGTAGGTTAATGCCATTCTAGTGTTCATATTACTAGTGCTAGCTCAAACTACTTGTGAGTAGTACTACTCTTTATGACATAATAAAAGATTTTAAAACAGAGATTTAATTGCTAAAAAGATGTTATAAATCAGGTAACACTTTAAAGTGAAGGTGCGTTCTATCCCCCCCCCCGTGTTAAGTGATATAATATGGTGAGAAATATTGAGCTTAGGTGTAGTGTTAGGTAAGGAAGGAAAGGCGATCGATAAGGCTAAGAAGCTACATCGACTAAGATACTTAAGACACGTTTTAAGCATACTTGGCAACCGCCCTCCTCGACAGGTAATGCTAGCTGACCTGTAATTGGATAGGAAAGGAGTTAGGGGATGATCCAACCGAAGCCTGGCACCAATTCATGACGTTTTTAACAGTTGATTTGAGTCACGTAGGGAGGTGTAGACTGTCTGCTTGAGGTTCCCAATATGCTAAGAGCCCATGACAGCAGACTATTGGAGATATAACTCAAAACTATTCTCAGTGGCGCAGGTGCATTGACTCTTTGTGACCTCCAATATCCATTAAACCCTCATTTTTTTTTCTCTTGTACAATTCTGCCCACTGTTGTTCGTGTGAATCTGTTTTTTCTCTGTTATCTGTTTGCTGCATGGAGTTTAGCAGCTTAAACTCCTGAAGTTCTGTGTAAGATTTCATACTGAAGTTGTTTAGAAGTAATTTAAAATTCTCGATGAACATCTTAATTCAGCTCAGTGATGAAGATAAAATTTATAAGTTCATCTTTAGATCACTCAGATTTAATTCGCTAATTAGTCATTTGATAGGCAGGGGCTAGCAGTGAAATCAAAGACGTGCGTTTCTTTCCATTCGGGACTCGTCAGTTGGACGTGATTTACTGATTCAGCAATCTTCACAGTACGATCAACATAAAGATGAGATGAGATTTAATTCCAATGTTTAGTTTTCTTCATGAAATAACGTCAGTCAGAGAGATCATTGAAGACCACTGAACAGCTGGTTCGTCCCATTTGCAAAGGTTCAGAAGTGCTCAACCGCCACCCCTCCCAGAGATAGAACCCAAGACCTAGAGGTTACGAGATCCTAGACTATATACTAATTTCAAGCTCACTGATGGCTACTGGATGTATGTCTTGAAGCTGTGGTGAGTTGTCGTGACCAACGGAGTCCATTATATCAGGATGAAGTGGATGTTCATTGAAGGCATTAGTGAGGTTAACCCCATATCACGAGTTAACAAAGTAAGAATTCACGGGCCATTGGATTCTGGCCCAAATGGCTTGGTCTCGTTACCTGAAGTTCGCAGGTTCGAAGTCTGGTGAGGTAGTGAGTACTCATTGCTGAAAAGTCTCATACCAAGACGAAACAGCTATTCAGTGGCCCCTGGTTTACAATGGACTTTCTAAGAATTGTTAGTTCGTGACGAAATCTAATAATAAAGAACAATTCTTCTAAATCCTCAAAAATCCTAAAATCTACATTTATTTATTTATTTTGATTTACAGCTTGATTCCACACTGTATTTTTGGTACAAGTATAGAATTTTCAGCATGGATATCGGTAGCCCAAATTTTGCAGGCCGATCATAGATATCAGGTGTGCGTCGGCAGGGGATCAAACCTCGGACCATGTGCATAGTCGGCGAGAGTCCTAACCACTGTGCCACCGACGCACACATAAAGATGAGAGAATTTCGGAAGACAATATTAGACAACATTGAAATAAACTAGTCGTGTGTTGACTAAATTTTAGGCCTATTAAAAGAATTTGCAGTGAATATATATATTTAATGAGCATGATAAATTAAATATCCCTTCTACAGTAAAAATAAAATGCCTTTTAAAGTGCTAATGAAACAATATTGTCTTCAAAGTGCAAAATAGTCACTAAAACATCATTCCAAAAGAATTTAGAAAAGCTAACTATGGTATATCAGCTATGCAATACCTTTAGCACTTCATATTATTTCTCACTAAGTTGAACTGACAGAAACACTTTCGATAAGATTTACACGTGAAACATAATTTGGCATAATTATAATAGACTTTATTATTACTGCCACAGAAAGCGATTTTGAAAAGGATTGTAAAGAGGTATGGCCTAATAACATGTGCGTCAGTGGAACAGTAGTAGATTGGTCGCTGGCCACGTATGTGTTAGGACGCATTCCTTCACCTCACTAAGCCAGTAATAAGGCTGGTAAAGAGGGAAGGTTGGGCATGAGGCTGGCAACCCCACCCCGTAAAAGGAAACACCACTGCTACGGAAACTTCAAGCCTTTAGCTCCAAGCCCTATGTTCCACTCGGAACGTGAAGGAATAAAACAAAAGTGGCTTAATAATAACATAGAGATTGTGATTAGTGCTTATAGCTTAGTCGCTGATAAAATTCTCTCCAGTAAGACGCAATCGGCTAAGTTACATGACTAAAAGGTGAGCGGATTCACTCTTAATACCAAGTAGAAATACAATCAACATTTAAGCAGCATTCTTTAATGATGAATTTCAGCTTGTATACAACGCTTGTAACAGTTTGGTCTCTAAATATATTATATACACAAAGTAAACAGCTGTTAGCTATCATTCAGTCTAATAGTTAAAATTCATCCGAAAACATTTCAGGACTACAAATAGATATTTCTTGTTAAATGGCACGCAATTCAGTTACAATAAAGGTGAATAGAAGTAATTTCATCATATAAATTATTATTTTTTCTGAGTGGCAGATATTGCCAACATACTGTGGTGAATGCTACTTATAATCATATATAAGTAGTATATCAGTAAGCGAATTCAGAAAAGCAACAATTTGTTTCGGACAATGGAAAAAGCAGTCGAAGAAGGCAACTTTGAGAAGGATGTTACAAACACTGTGAAGAAGCCAACAAACTATCGAATGTGGTGATATTCGACCAATTTGCAAATGATGTGCAAATAAAGACTTAAAGATAAGGTATACATGCCAAATTTATGTACCTACAGTGAGTTTGTCGTAACAAATGTTCCTTCGAGCCTTATCAGTCTTTTCTTCTTTCCAATATTGCTTAACCATTTATGCGTAAAGTAGGAGATGAAAGGAACAGAGAAACAAACAAACGGAAATGGCATCCTCAAACGTTGTAGTATATTAGGGAACTAAAGGGAGGGAAAGATAAGTCTAATTACAAAATAAAATGTTAACATTAAGATGATAAAGGTAAGGTGTCAATGCCTCTGCCTTACTACGATCAATCACTTTGACCGACTTAACTGACTAAACAATGCTCTACACATCTGAGACCAACAATCAAGGACTATATGGCATTATGGTGTCTTAATTCATTCACCCTTGGCTTTCTGCCGATATCCTAGTACAACTTCTGTAAATATCACATGACTAAGCAGACGATGGGCCATACTTTTGAACTATTGTTAGCACAGAAAAGGATAGAAAGTTACACAATAAACTTGATCACTTCCATTTTAATTAGCAGTTCTCACCTTTCAAAGGATCTAGGGAAAGGGTTATCGATATCTGATTTTATTTATCTAAAAATTGACTCACAGTTATTGAAAAAATTCTTTTTATTCCTTTACGCTTTCAGTGTAAAATAGGGCTTCAAGCTAAAGGCTTGAAGTACCCGTAGCAGTGGTGGTCATTTTTACGCGATGGGTTGTTAGCCTCATGTCCAACCTTTTCTCTTTACCAGCATTATTTATTACTGGCTTAGCAAGGTGAAGGAGTGAGTCGGCCGGGATCAGACCCCGAACCACATGCGTGGTTGGCGAGCATTCTATACCTGTACCGCCGACGCGTACTCACAGTTATAAAAAGTCAAAATTAAATACAATAACCGATTACAGGATTTCATCATGAGCTGACATTAGTTAGAGAACCACTGGAAAACCTGGGAGTACTGGACAACTGTTTCGTCGTAGTTTGGGACTCTTCACCATTACGCACTCACCCATCGGGATTCTGACCCTGAACCTTCTGGTTACAAGGCGACCTCGCAGACCATTAAGCCGCTGAAACCTGATCCAACGGTCAGCCCGTGAATTCTAACTTCTGCCAATTCACGATATAGCTCAACCGCTAGCCAATATCTTCGGCGAGTATTTGTCCTCACACCCAACCTGCTGCACCCTACTGGTCACGACTTCTCACTGGAACCCCAGGTAACTACCTACCTGAATAGGGCAAGTCGCTAGTGAGCATCTCATTGACATTCAATGTTGGTTTGCTGAAGAGTCCCAAACAACGACGAAACAGCCGTAACCAATCAAATCCCTACAAACCAACACTTGAATAACAATTACGGATTGTTAGCAAAGGTTATGAGAACTGGCGGAATAAAAGTACTGAGTAACTTAACTTGCCTGCTTATTTTGCTTGTGTCGAATGTTTGATTGTAAGGGGAGGTTATCTCGTCTGCATTTTCTTCTTCTTCTTCTCCTTCTTCTTCTTCTTCTTCACCATCATCATTATCATCTTCACAGATAGACTTTTGATTGTTTACTTCAAATAACTCTTCGATATGATTATCGTCATTCTCTTCACTAACAGTAGATACAGATTCTAGGCTGTTTGGAGATTTGACATAATCAATATTCCCAAAATTATCGTTAGATACTTTTGAATTGCATTTTTTGTGTTTAACTTGGTTGGATTCAGCATTTATAAGATTTAACTACAACAAATATTAAAATTTAAAAAAATATATTGCTTAAGTAAATTAGTCTGCCCACTTTTATAATAATATAAATGAAAGGATATCATTTCACTGTAGATCTCATCACAAAACAAAATCAGTTAGAGAATCATTGGAAATCAGGAAGCATTGGACGGCTTTTCAGTCTTAGTTTGAAACTCTTCAACAGTGTCCCCCCCCTCCCTTGCCACCCGATTTCGCCAAGGACTTTTAGGCTACGAGACCAAAATAGTTGACCATTAAGCCACTTGGGTCAGAATTCAATGACCTGTGAGTTCTAACTTTGTCAGTTCCTGATACGGGGCTACTGCCAACCAACGCCCTCCACCTAGGTGACTGAAAGGTCAACTAGCGTCCCGGACTCGAACTGTGGTAGCGTCATGGATGCATACTGCTGATGAATCCCAAACTAAGATGGAACAACTATTCAATGCTTCCTGGCCTCCAATGGTAGTTTAACTCATGTTAGCTAGTGACGCAATCTACATTCAAATTAATTGAAATCCCTATTAAAAGCTCACAATTTAAAAAAATATAACTCATGGTTATTTAGACTGGGTATTCATTTATTTATAATGATATACCAGCTACCTTGTAATGTTGAGTGAATTATGACTTGTCACAAACGAGGAATAAGATTAATAATTTCGAAATTTGAACTAAACTTAGTCACATTTAGCTAGCTGAGAGTTCTGATTTACTTAGTAAGATTTTCTGTCATGAATAATATTATTTGATTTATATAGTCCCGTGTATTTTTATGGCCTGCGCTAGATGCAACTGGAAAAATAATTTGAATCGGCATCAGAAGCCACAAAAATGGGATGACAGTCAACATAATTATCAGTATTAAAGCAACTGATACATTCTTCTTTAGGTGTGCCGTAATCCATTTGTTATCAATGAAGCTTAGCTGATTTCATCCTCTTTGAACAGGAGAACCCAGTCAGATATCCCAATAAAGTTAGACAGCCAAAAATTACTAAATATTTTTGGTCTTCACAACCAGTTTATAAGTAAATTCCTGAATAAGCAGAAAGAGGTTTTTATGAGAAGTATAAACAAGGGATGGATAATCATTTAAAAACACTCGGGTGATTATTTAGGTAACCGTCAAAATATTTACCCCCCGTCCGTTTCCGCCTCCTTGATAAGAAAGAATAGAGACGGTCAATTACAGTATGAATTTCCTCAGGTAGTTGGTGTTACGCACCGTCCAATGTGAATTTGTATAGCATGTTTAAAGCAGTATTGCAATTATTCCATATCTTAATTTTATCTGTTTTAAAGGTGTTTTATCGATCTTTTACACGACTAGAATATCTATAGTGCCAGCCAAAGTTTTTTGAAATAAAATAGGACCTACTTATTTTCATATATAAGTAGCATAACTATTAGTGTTATTAAAATGTAAAGTACTAATATTTTTGGAGCAAGAGGACCATTAGGAACAATAGAAAGCTACTCAATCTTAATTTCGGCCTTAGCATCAATGTAAATTTTTCATTATGTGGCTGGCCAAGGTTAGGAACTATCAGGGGATTCTGTGCCGAAAATAAGTCGAAACAACAATTTGATTCTCCTTAGAGGCTGCTTTCTGTGGTTCGTTAATGAAAATCGTTTTCTAGTGAGATTTTTTTTGAAAGATATGAAATCCATTCAAACCTAGTATCTGGTTGAAATCAAACAATATGTCTAACTAACTTGGGGGTTACTGGGTCTTTTATTGGCTTATTAAGACAGATAATCAATCGCCTTATGTACGAAAAAATTATTCGCTCAACTGAATTATCAAAAAAGAACGATGAATACTCCAGGCAGTGAAAAAATTAAACAATAATTCGACAAGTTTAGCTTTGAGAGATGACAATCATTAGGCTTTTGATAAAAGTAAATGTTGGATACTCAAAGACTGCAAACTTTAACAAAGTTTTAAATACGCGATACAAATTCGAAGAGTAGGTAAATACAAAGAAAACGATGAAGAATATGTGAAAGTCAATACAACTAGAAAATATCATATGTTGAAACGTCTTTGACTAAGGCGATAAACGACAATTACATACAAATTAGATACATTTCACCCAAAGTACACGAAAATACGGTAATCCTCAAAATACCAATCTATCACTATCTCATATTTCAGATCAGTGGTTACTTAAGATTTACTTCCTTTAACCTCGAAAGGATCAAATATTAAGACAGCAATTTTTACGGATGACAGTTCTTTGTTGAACAATGTATCCATAGTAAAAAACTGTGGACTTGTTTCCTCAAGTTAGCGATCAAGACAATTAGTTATTGTGTTACGTATGGAACCATTAAAGACTTTCCTTCACGTTACACTTGGAAATTTTTGACTAGATTTAATGAATTTTATAGACGGATTTGTGCAATGGGACAAGAACAAGATAAAATTAGAGGGAATTTTAACAGGATGCACAATACCGTAAACTCCGCATACTGGAAGAATGTTAACTACAAGATATTTCTGTAGAAAGTAAAATATACTCATAAATAATACACCGAAATCACACTGCAAAACATATAGACAAACTCAGTGAATGGCTGTTTCGAGAATAAGAACCAACACTAGAACAAATAAATCGAAGGTTTGGGGAGATGTGATTATTGTGATATAATCTAAGTGAAATATTAAACCCTAAAACTTCGACGTTACTTCAGTTAACATTTCCTATAGGTGCTCCTGTGGGGCCAGTTACATAAGCCTTACAATGAGGTGTGTTTCTCGTCGGATTTTCGAACATCACCCTGTAAAGGACAAACAAAATCCATTCGCAGCGTTATTCTATCCCATCCTGTGGATACAGAACACAAGATTGATGTCAACGAGGCTTTCAAATTTATTTACCGCACACCAATAAATCTAAACTTCGCCTTAAGAGTTCGTTTACTAAATATTGCTGGGGCTGTTGGGATCCACATTAAGAAGCCTAATTTATGTGTCCAAAAGAAGCTAGTTCAGACATTATCCTTACCTTGTCCATCTAGTTTCGAATGATCCTCAAATTTTTGTAGAAATTTCCTTAATTTTAACTGATATTCTATTTGCTATTATATCTTTACTAATATTATAATTTATGCATCTTTAATGAACTGTAATTCCATTGATCTTACTTAACAAATTGATATTATTTAAAAAACACTAATATTGTTAATGACTACTATTCTAGAATATTCTCTGTATATAAACATATTTACAATTGTAGAGCCAGAAGATGAAATTATGGAAAAGGATATTTTTTGCTAGATTATTTTGTTTTTTGTAGGTGTCTGAATGAATATTTTGGCTATATTGAAATCCCCTTGGTAAATTTCCTGATGAATCCTAACAAATATCTGAGCATACATCTAATGGTTACTGGGAAATCAGTTATATTACGAAGACTAACTGTGGTTAAAGTAAAAGAAAATAAAGAAATCATAATATATTCTGATAATCTGCCACAGTAGCGTAGATACAAGAATACTTTATTTTCCTCTTATTACATTATTTCACCCCTATATTTGCTCTTATCTCTGTTGTCTTGAAGCATTCTACCACACTAAATTATGTAAACCCTGATATTTCTGTTTACCTTATTTCCTGCATGATACACACAAACCAGGTATGGCAAATTGAACAAATAACAATTGATGTAAGGCCCTACATTCGTTGTAGGTGCTATGCAGTCTTTTTGTCTGGATTCAACATAGAACTTGGCACCGAAGTGCAACAGTTCCAGTTGCCACGTTCCAAATAGAACACAAAGGTAGACAAGATGAGTGAAGAGAATCAACAGAGTTTGACAGGTATAAGAGTGAAACAGAATGGGTAATGGTAGAAAGAAATATGAAAGATTACAGAGACTAAATACATCTACGCCATTGATAACGATTTTGAGCCATGTCACCTATTGTCTCCAGCCATTGATTCCTATAGTCCCGAGGGCCCCAACCCGGAAGTTTGCATCTCCCTACCTGACCGACTCAGTTTAACTGTCAAATGCTTCATGGATTGATGTCATGTTTTTGTTTGGCCACCACTTACTCTTTTCCAACCTGCACCTATATCAGCTAGTAATGCCCGTCGGGGGAGGCGATGGTTAGGCATGCGCAGCACGTGACTTAGCCATCTCAATCTATGTAACTTTATAGCCTCATCGATTGATTTTCCCTGTTTGCCCAACACTCTACGCCTAACGTCAACATTACTTATTGTATATTCAATGGTGATTTAGGGATTGACCTTTCAAACCTTTTGTCTCCCTCTAGGATACATTTACGAGGTCACCACAAGAGAGTGCTCAAACCCAGGTCGAATAAAATACGTTTGGAGATTAGATTCTTTCACAGAGTGGTTGACGACTGGAGCTCCTTACCTGATTCGGTAGTAACAGCTCCATCGGTGGACGCCTTCAAAGAGAAACTAGATCTCTACAGAGATATATATCGCGAGGATTAACATAGGCAACAAAAGCCTTCTGTCCTTATAATCTGAATCTACTATCATGTACACATGTTCTGCAACGTATTTTTGTAACAATTTGCTCGTGCATCAACATTTACGCACACGTCCACCATATAAAACATTCTGGTTATTTAACTTTAATAATTTGAAGTTTTAGAAGCAATAGCAAATTGTTTATTAACTAATATATACAAATAACCTCACAGCCTAAAGTGGTTGTTGAAAAGAATATTCTTTAAAAACTAATACACATTTTAATTCTAACGTATGCTGAAAATGTCTTGAAATACATGTCTATCAAATGAATGGGAAAATGCGGTTAGTATTCAGTAGGTTTGACTTTAAGTGTAAAGATCCATAACTCATGGACATCAAAGTGTTGCGAATTGACAAATACCAGGTGAATTCGCCAGTTTTCAAATGACATTGTAATTAGTGCAGATTGACCGAAGATTTATTTTAGAGCTTAAAACACCTCATCAGTTAAAGAAACAAGTAGTAAGAACAATTATTTTGATGAGGTTTGCAGCGAACACGTACGTTAACGAAGTCTGTATTTACGTTAGTATTCATTCCCTACAACGCGATGACCAGAAATCAAGTATATCTCTAGTGGTAATTTACCTATAGATTTAGTGACATATCGCAGAAATTAGCATCTCAGGTCTGTACTGAAATGAATTTCTACAGTAGAACTTTGCACAGAATGCAGTAATTCAAGCTGTCAAACCTTGTAAAAGGACATATAAAAGTAGTAAAATATATACAAGAAAACTATAATAAATTGAAATTTACAGAGGGAAGGATACTAAATTCTTTTGTATAGTTAAGCGATCAGTTCTTTAGCTATTTAGCCACTGAATGAGGATGTCTACTGCCCATTTAAGCCAACGGATACATAAATCACCGTGAAACAGCTAATCTTAGAAAACTTTCATTAAAAAACGGCCAAAAATTATCCTTGTAACGAATAAAACATAATGTGTACATCGAAAGAGACAAAAGTAGCAGACGCGTTAAATGAATGCTGACTTTTCTGTCAATGGGTGTGATTTAAACATTTTTCAGTAAGCCATCTTTTGTGAAATTCTTTTTACTTTGAATCAAAATGCAACTCGTCTCAAAGATACTCTCAACTGATTCTTTAAACAAAAAGGTAAGCCATTTTAAAATACTTAGTACCGGGAGTGTAAAAGCAACTGTATAATGGATATATTATTAGATATTTTTGAATGAATCTTCTTAAAAGCATGATGAATACATTCACATAATTCGTATCATAATTGAGCACTCAGATATATTGCTGCTGTGTAATGATAACACACAGCTTCTGACACCAAGTCAAAACTTTATACTATTGATACCTTCAATTAATTTTACATCGAAAATGCAAACAGTGTTAACTTTCAATCTTGGAAGTCTGGTAATTAAACAAAATTCATACATTTACAATTATTATGGGGATATTTCAGGGTACACTATAATCAGACTAGACTCCAGAAGCAGTTAACAGGAAGGAAGTAGACATAATAAAAATTGATCGCTTTATACTACAAATAATTTCGTTCTTAAAGATTACCTGACTGTAGTGACCACGGCGAAATGAGGATGGTGATTGCGAAAGACGAGGTTTCGGAGGTTTTCCAGTGACTCTGAAATAAGAATGACTTAAATTCAGGACTTTAATGTAGACAGAAAAACTCTACAATAAAATGAAAAAATAATGTACTGTGATCATGTTACATTAAGCATTGATGCCCCAACTCGCTACACATAATGTTTACACAGTAAAAATTTTCCAAGTCAATACTTCTTGGGTAGAATCTTCAGCAGTGCTACAGTTGTCAGGACAAAACAAAAGCCGGTATACCGACTATAGGCAGTGATTTTATTTACAAACCTATTTCTAATAAATTAGTGGCTGCTCAGGAATGCACTGTCTATCGTAAATATTGTCGCAGAAGTAAATATATGCTTTCGCTATTATTCCTCCTAACATTTGAAGTCCATGAAACTGTCATTAGCAATGCCCTTCGATTCTTGCACTCGAAATTCATTTTTCATATGGCATATGATTTAAATTGCGCAATTTATTCCATCCAGCAGGAATTTAATTTGAGGTATAAGCAAAGTACAGAAGACCAGACGAAGCTCAGTTTATGACAGATTTATTTCTAATGTGCAATGTTTCAAGTAACGTATTAACATATTTGAGTGGTTTAAAGCCTGGTTTTGAGTGAATGAATACACGACTCTGAATTATTTACCATACAAAAAAAAACGAAAGACCACTGGTAAATTTTGTGAAGGCATAAGTGAAGTGGGTGATTGGTCATAAACATGAAAACAACTCATAGTTTGATATGTCCGTCTTAAACAGTTTCAGGTAAACATCTCTACATGTACAGGAATATTAAGATTTCCCAACTACGTAGTGACGACTGTTATTACTAGACCATAAGAAAGGCGAAAACTTACATATCACCTGCCATCACCTTAAATAATTAAATGACCTTGAAAAGCAAGGGTAACCAGTGTAATTCTTATTGGCGTCGTTAAGCGCGAAGCAATACAAACAACGACAGAAACTTTTCTCTTAGTTTTCACGCATTTTATTGAACGAATCTGAAGTTTTTGCCGAGGCAGAATTCCGACAACCACATGTTTTACAGATATTTTTAAATACAATCATTTAGTCAGTCGTCTGTGACAAGTTCATTTGTTGCATGAAAACCTGTGAGATTCGCAGCCACATCACATAGTTCCAGAGTCTGATCGTGTTTAGAGCAAAGTTAGAAAGACGAAATCTAAATAGCTACATTAATTTTAAAAATGAAGCGAAATCACAATTCCTTTGGATTCCGCTTCCATGCACATTATCCGTTACCTTTCTACGAAACTGAAAGTGGGGTCCTATTATAGATTCACTCGTGTTAGCCTTTCCGTGATCTCACAACAAACAAAATACCTAATGACCACCCTACATCTGTTTGACTAAAATGAGGATAAATATCGAACTCGGATTCAGAGATATTTGTTAACGGATTTCTCAGTGTTTGTTTTACTGCTGCTCATCTCCGCTTAAAAGCTACGGACACTACTTTTTGTTTCAACGTTGTGACACATGCGCAGTGGAGGAAATCTCGAGGCCTTAATTTATTGTTGTTGTTCCATTGGGTTCCGATTGGAACGTAGGGCTTCAACAGCATATCTCCCACTGTGTCCTTTCTTCAGCCTCCCTCTTCAGCTGATTCAAGATTAGCCATAATCTCTCGTCTTATACTAATGCGATCTTCTCCGTGTCACCCTAGGACTACAAACTCTTAGCTTACCATTTGAATTCCACTCGAGAGCCAGGAGCACTATGCCATTCGATGGTTTCCTGAATGTATGTCCGATCCATTTCCATTTTCTCCTACACATTTGTTGAGCGATCGTCTCTTGGCTGATTTGTTGCCGGAATTTCTTGTAGCTAATTCTTTCTGGCCGGTCGCCGATTTGGTCTTCAGTTTGCAGACAGCAGAGGCAGTCGTTGATGAAAGTCTTCAGCAGACTGTTCGAAATTCTTGTCGTTACACACAGTGCGAGTTTGTGACCCACATAAAAGGAATGACCTGTCAGTCGTGTTGAAAATTCCTTCTTCCTGGAACAGTTGTACACGTTTGCTTAAATGTCGCTTCCAGAGAGTTCCGGGTTTCTTTTCACATGTTCCCTCAGTGATGCTACTTAGTGTGTCCGACTTTGCTCTGATATCTGTAGTGAACCCTTCCCTTGTAGTTTTGTTCTTCAGTTGACGAATATCGAACTTGAATAACACTGACCTGTGCCCATTAGTTTTCATGGATTTCAGCCTCACCTCGAAGGTTCCGTGAACTAGATGATGCTATGAAGCCACATCTACTCCTTTTCTCTACTTTGTATCCATTAGGCTGCTTTTCCATTTCCTTGAGCAGCACTTAGATGACATCTATCCGTTTTCTGGTGTGTTCTTCAGGTGAAATCCATATCGCTGTCCTTGTGTATATCCTCGTGCTTGTACGCGCTTCCCCGATCACAGAATCATTGAAAGGGTAGAAGTTTGAGAAGAGTTCTCTGTTTTAATTTATTTCTCTGGGCGAGAGCTTCTCGACCCATAATGAGTTCTCTACCTGCATCATCTGCTCCCAGTTCAGCTGGCAATCATACACACCTAGATATAGTGAACCAAAGAAGTTACCCGCGTGAGACGAACCTCAACTGTTTCACTGTCGACGACCAATTTATTATTACACCGAAACATACGGTGGTCGATTAATTTTTCAAGAAACAAGAACCCAGTGACTGTGTACCTCTGGTCTCTCTCTATGTTATCGCTATCAGATACCTCCCTGAGCAGTAGCAGGTGTCATACTTCCTTTTCGCTATTTGGGGTGATGTTAAGAACAGCCTGGCCACCAGGCCAGTTGAGCTTGGCCAGCGAGCCAACGGGCAGTGTGGCCAAAGCTCGGATGTAGCAGGATGGATGGCTACACAACAGCCTGCCGGAGGTAAGTTCGAAGTCGTTTAGTCAGAGTAACCGGCTTACTGGAACCGAAGTGAAAAGTGGTAACTGACTCTCACTCCAGATGTCCAGATGGCGTTTGTTTACTAGAGAAATACATATGGCAGTTTTGAATACCATGTAACCACGTACTGGAGAACACCATATCTTCAATCTCCACCATCATCTTAACCCTGATCCTATCCTTACCACTAACCCTTATTTAATGAGCTATCAACCCACCAACTGAACAGTACTTACAAAAGAGGTTGAGATGAAATTTGCACCTCAGCTACTACGCAGCGTCCGCAGTGGAGACACACTAATGGTGCGTCGAATCATCCAACAAAGAATATGCGCTCAGGGTGATCGGTAAGTTCGCACTCCCTAATTGCTGCTCTTTTCCTTTTCCAACACAGTCACAGATCTTGGGACAATATATTCTAACCTAGCTTCCTTCGGTGATGCAAAAGGTGAACGGCTGGCAGTGTGGGACTTACTTGCCTTACTGTACTCAATTTTTACACCCTAGGAGACAGATCAACTGTATGTAAGGCGTGTATTCAACATAAACGTAAATAATGTGCTTCTCAGTAAAGTATGCAGACCGGAAAAATTCGAAAGTGTCCAGATATTTCTCGCGAAATGCATCATAGGGCACCACCAATACTCAGAATAAGTTAACAGGAGTATTCTACCGAAATTAAAACTCTTATGGTCATGGAGGTTGAAGGGTAACTTGCTTCGTCTCTTCAGAGTTATCAGGGAACATCACAGTAACCCGTCCACAGCGTTGGCCAACTTGAAGCTATATCAGTTACTTATTCGCAACGACCCTCTCAAAATTGTAGTTCACAAAGGAAACACTAAGGCCAACTTCATAGCCATTGTATACTGCACAATTTGGAGACAACTAAATTCCGAAATAATATCCCGTGAAAAGTTCAGTGACTTCAAATGGAGCTTTGAAAAACAGAAGCGTGGGGTGCCCACATCAGTAGGATGGCAGTGTACGTTTTGACTGGTCGATATTTTAACATAGGCTTAGATTCTTTCATTAAAACCAATAATGTCTGTCTGGATCTGAGCATCAGAAAGTGCTTCTGCCTCTACTACCGAAAATTTTGTTCAGCTTCTTTTCAAGATGCCGTCTCGCATTCCCTACACAGATTTGTGACATACCTCGTTATTTAGGATGTCCCAAATTTTCGGGTCGATGACTGGTGCTTGTGGCTAAATCATCACTCATATATATATATATATATCATAATAATTTGTAAGTTGGGTGCAGGTATATTCCAGTAAATCATATTTGTCCAAGCTCTTCGTCAAGTTAACACCTCGTTTTATTCATATTTCTTCTCCCTTAGGGTATCTGAAAACACTCCACTTGAGTATAAATTGGTTCGCATTAGTAAGACCGAAATGGTTAGCCTCATATAATACAAACGTTCATTACCATTCTAAGGATGAAATAGCTTCTTTTTGTATATGTTCTACAAATGTATTTTCAGTGATACATCACCTCTACTTCTGTTTCTGTCCAACTACGTAATTCCCTAAAAAGTTTGATTTCTTTGAAGTAGGCGACAATCGGGTTTGGTGTGACACTTACTCGAATAATGACTAGTTGTTAATGGGGTGCAATAATCCGTAGAACAATTACTTTTATTTGATTTGCCGGATGGTGATAAAGAATGTAAATATTTGGTGACTTCCAAAAACAATTTAAAAAGCTTGCTGGCGTCGAATCCTGTGACATATCATTAATGACAATTATGGCACATTACTATGATGCCGATGATCAAGGCCCTATCACTACCAATAGAGAGCTAATAAATCTGAAAATTTTAGAAATAGCGGAAGTGTGTTGACGACTGCGTTCCAAATCTCACTGACTCATACAGTGGCAATTCTCAGGTACTGCATGATTTATTTTTCACTCTGTATGGATTAATTCCCCATTATTCTGGTCCCTACGGCGTACGGGTAACTCTAGACTGCAGCAGACCGAGAAGAGGCTACCTAATTTGGGCTACCGATATCCATGCTGAAAATTCCGTACTTGTACCAAAAATACAGTGTGGAATCAAGCTGTAAATCAAAAAATAATAATAACCTTGACAGATTTATTTACAGATATTGGTCTAACCTGACTATGAGGATTTCTATGAGAAACTAGGAGGTTTTTTCGAACATATACAAGAATATTAATCTATGTAACCATTTGTCAAACATTAAATTACTTGTATATAGATGTTTATTTCAAATTGCGCACTTCTGCTCCTTACGAATCTGATTGGTCGCCAGAGGTAGTTTCGTTTTTTGCTACTGTAGTTTAGAGTCGTCGACATATTATATGAAAATTGCTTTTGCCTATTGTTTTTGGAGTAGTAACACTTCTTCACACGTTTAACTGAACACTGCCTGCTGTGGTGAGCCACCTGCAGTTAATAATGCTGTATACTTTGTCATCGATCAACTAACCTACCATATCTACCATTTGCAACGCGACTCTTAATTACTGCGCGCCTTCGGCTACATTTAAACAGTGACGATGATCGATATTATACTGTGTACATTACTTCTACCTATGCAGTTTGACTCTGCCGATGTTACACGTTGATGACTTCTGCAAACTGGCGTCCCTCAAGTTCAAAGAAACAAGAATATGTTATTGATAAAGAAATAGTTGAAATTTTGAATGCCCACCCAGCCTTGAAGACGGCCTTTCGATTTGACATTAGAATAGTACTGATTTGATAACTTATTTTATAAACCAACCATTTAGGGGACTGAAACTTTGAAAAGTTGTCGACATTTTGAAATGTGAAATTATATCAACCTCGACTGTGTCCATAAAAATGACATACTTTCCATGAAAATTGATTTCTTTATTGGAAGACAAACTATATTATATTGTGTTATACTCACCAGTGTTCTTAAAAGTACATTATCAGCCTACCAGTTACA